GGTGTGGAAAATTGTTCTCTCTCTTTTGTCTTTGCTGCTAGCTTGACGAAAGTCCAGCTTTGTCATTAGTACCCGCCCACCCACCTCTGGGTGAGAGCTTTGTGAGTTCAGTGGTCTTATGAGGGGTTCGATAGCTTGGATAGACAACCTGGGCTGAGACTCAGCTTGTGATATATGTAAGTTGACGTTTGGTAAATTTAATTATATATTATAAGTATATAGCTATAATGTAATAGAGAGCTTTTTGATGTTTTTATTGTATTTTATTAAAATAATTAAAAAATAAAATAGATCTTTATATTGTTTATATTTTAATACATAAATAAAAGTTCTATTAATAAAAATTAATATTTTTTTGTTTACTTTTCTAAAAATAGCTCTATTAGTTTAAAAAGTACTTAAATACTAATTCAAAACAAAAAAAAAATTCAAATATAATTGCTAGTTATTGTTATCTATTCTTTTAAAGTTAAAAATACCACCTAAAAAACAGTTTGCATATTTAAAAAAAGCACGTTATATAAAACTTTCATATAAACAAGAACAAACTCAATCAAACTCTAATTTAGCTCAAAATGAAATAGAAGAATCTAATAAAACAGAAAAAATGTGAGAAAAATTACATAATAAAATAGATAATATTCCTACAAATCAGCTAAACAATATAAATTATATGTTAAATCATATAGTATATACTAAAGGAACAAATACTGAAAAAATTATTTCTACTTATTGTCAAAAAAAAGCATTAAGTTTATTAGAGAATGGTTTATATAAAAAACAATCTTAGGCAGAATATATTAATCAGAAAATTTTAAATTTAGAAAAAGAAAATATGCAACTTAATAGAACTGTTAAAAAATCACAAATTAAAGTAAATTCACTTATACATAAAGTAGCATGCAATCAAAGAACTAAATATGAAAAATTTTCTAAAATGCACTCAGCAATTCAAAAAGCTAATAATAACATTACTTCTAAAAAATTTAAAACATCAGTTAAAAGGTTATTTAAATCTAATCAAAAAGAATATTCAGCTCAATTTGTACAATTAACAACAGATATTAGTAATATAGGAAATACTTCAATTCAATCAGCAATATCTTGTACTAAAAAATTTTATAAATTCATAATAGAAGAAAATTTAGAAAAATGGATCTGTGCAAAAACATTATCAAGATGGAATAAAGAAATTGCTTCCATAAATCTTAAGAAAAATAAACCTCAAAATTTTGAAAATTTAAATTATGGATATGGATTATTAGCTGATGAAAGTAAGAGAGGAGAAAGAAAAATTTTAATAGTTGCAACTGCTTACTGGGATATTGAAAAAAATAGTCCATTACTTATTATATTAGGTTCTGTTGATTTGCTACACTGTAATGCAAATTTAGTTGCTACTAATACTTATCAAATCTGTCAAAAAAATAAAATAGATACAAAAAAATGTCACTTTTGGTTAACTGACAACACAGCATATATGTCATCTGAAATTAATGATGCTGTAAAAAAATTTAATACAATAGGATCATCAAAAGCTTTTAGAATTCTCTGCACACTTCATATTATGCATATTTCTCTAATTTCATTTGAGAATACTGCTTTTGGTAAAGTTGATAGACCAAGAGGCTCTTTAAAGAAACATCCATTCAATCTTTTAAATCTTGTATTTAAACTACATGATGGATATGGAATGACTAATAAAGATAATCCAATGAATATGCATTCAGAATATATTCATAATCTATATAAAAAATTGCTAAATATAAACTTTACTAAATATTAACAACCTATTCAAACTCGCTGGAAATATGAATTAATAACAGCACAACAATACTTAGCTCGTCAAGATTTTCATATACAATTTTGTGATTGGTTTATACCAAATCTTGAAATAAATCGATCTGTTCTAAAATCATATCTAGCTCAATGGAAATTACTTTATAAATGGCTCTTAGATAGTAAAATAAATATTGAATTAAAATGTTTATTCAAATTCGGACAAGAATTCTATTTACCTATATATGATTTTGTAACAAAATCTGATCCTATTCCTTGTATATATGATTCTAAAAAAGATATGTTATTTACTCTTCCTCTGGGGCATAGAGCACATGAGATGCCAATAGCTGTTGCTAATTGGATTACTGAATTAGAATTTGCTCAGCAAAATATTGATGATTATTTTGATAAAGAATTACAAGATGCATATAAAATATTAGAAGTTACAGAATATAAGTCACTTTGTAATGCACTTGAATTAGGTATTAAAGAAGGATTGTTAAAATTTATTAAATGGATGAAACCTTGGATACATTTGTCTTTAAGTATATGCTCTTTAGGAGGTTCAAAAGGGTCAGCATTTGCAAATGCTTTTCTCTCTGTATTTTATTCTATAGAAATATCTGGACAATTTTTTGATGATACAGCAAAATTTAAAAAAAATCTAGAACAAAATATAAAAGAAGGAATCAGAGATACATTAGGATTAAAAGAGGCATTAAATAATTTAAATTTTTTTGAAGAGTTTAAAAAATTTGCACAATCACCAACAATGCCTCTGCATATATTCCCTTTGATATATGACTTTGTTAAGTTTCGTATTTGGAGTATCGTAGTTCATCAGCAGCAGCTGGAAGGAATGTTTAACTGTTATGATCTTAAAGTACATTCTAATATGAGTATAGAATTACAAGAAGCACGATTAATTCAAGCTGGTCCATCCAAAATACCTTCCAAAATAAATGCTTCTGATCTTAAAAATGTTCATAAAGAACTAAAAGAAAAACCAAAAAATACTGCCATAGAATTAAATGGGAGTTTAGAAGTAGCACAATCATATTTCGAATCACTATTAAAGAAATAAATAACTACACAACTATCTCTTTAAATAAAAACTAAACTATAAAACCTGTGCAACCAATTCTTTAAGTCAGAATGCTATGATTATTGTTATTAAAAAAACTTATAAGCAATTAAATAATCTCAAATAATAATGCTATTATTTAATTTTACTACATACTCAATTAAAAAAAAAATTGTAAAATTAAAGATTTTTCACTCATAGTACAAACTATTAAATTTAAAGTTCTCTACATATAACAATAAGGATAATTTGTTGTATTTAAAAAAAAATAATTAAAAAAAGATCACTTGGTTTAAAAGTTGGGGTAAGGTTGGTATTATATGTAAAATTTACTTCTTGACATTTTTTACTAGTACTCAAAAGTAAATTTAGATATCCGTTTTCTCAAATTATTTATATTTGTACGATTTTTTTTTTTCCCGTTAACAATTACCTCTTAAAAAAAATGATCGACATAAAAAAATCACTACTTATTACGATTTACTAATTACGTTACACTATGTTTGTAAATCATATGATAGTCCACACTCTAATGTAACTTTGTTTACAGCATTTCATTTGTTACTCGACCTATTCCAACCACATGACTATGAAATACACATATGGGATCATCAAGAGAATCG